CGAGTTGCATGTGATATCATCCTAGTTGTTATAGTTGTTGAAAGTCCTCAAGCGATATGGCATCTGTTATTTGTGTGACGTCGCCCCCCCCCTTGTCGCAGCGTCGACTCTGTCGTTCGATCTCGTTCGCGGCGCCAACTGTGACGTGACGTGGTCCAGGGTTCTGGTCCTATGGTCACGACACCAGATGTGACGTCTTTGCCGCGGCGTCAGCTGTTCGCTCCTCGCTGCTCCAAGTGTGACGTTCTAACTTAACCCTTTGGTTAGATGAATACCAGCCTCGCCGTTCCCAACTCGCTTCCAACGCCTGGTTACTAGGGTAACTGCACTGATCTCCGGTCTGCCTACCCACGTTGTGATTAGATCTTAGACAGACGGGATCAAACAGGGATTGGGGCCGTATGCAAGCTGAGTTCAACGGGGGTGATAACACACAAGAAAAAGAAAAACTCACAAGGTCAAAAATTATTGAAGAAAATGGTAACAACTTTTTATATCTAAATGTACGTTACACAAGATTATTCCTACCTCCCGACCCGTTTGTGGACTGTGGCACCAAGCTTCTACCATACAACTTTAAGGCTTCGAGTTGCCTACTCTCTAGAAATTTGCATTTCGGGGTGTGGATTGGTTTCGACACTGGGCGCTGATCTCTACCTGTCGTTCACGGCTGATTTTTCTCGCCGTCAGTGCGCGAATCGACTTCTTCTCTTCGGCTTCGGTTGGACGAGCTTATTCACTTCGGCTTGAGTTGGACGAGCTTATTCACTTCGGCTTGAGTTGGGCGAATTTCTTCACTTCGACTTGGGTTGGACGAATTTCTCTTCTTAGGCTTGGTTTGATTCCAACTTCTCCGAGGCGCAACTGCAAGTTAACTTCTTCTTCGTCTGAGGCGCAACCCCAACTCCCACTTAACTTCTCTTCGGCGTTCGGGCAATTTTCTTCACTTCGACTTGGGTTGGACGAATTTCTTCACTTCGGATTCTCTTGCCCGCAAGGGGGCGAATGAACCGGGCCCGCCGCCCGCGTTCAAGCTCCCTCGCTGTCCGCGGCGTAACTGCAACTGATTTCTGTCGATTGGGGTCCTGCTTTTATTGACGCCGTAACAAACTGGGGTGGGTCTGTCGGCGCCAGGGTTTTCTTGATAATTCTAAAGTCGTATTATTTCTGATTAGGGATTTCCCATTATCGCTCTTACTTTCACTCCTACTTCCTTACTGTGCCTCTGGGGGGAGGCGCATACCCGCTTCCCCTGGTCCCTCGTATGTCAGGTGACCGCTCTCGACCAATGGGGTCCTGGTCGGGCATCTTTCCTCCTCCCTCGCACATCACGTGACCGCTCTCGGCCAATGAGACTCTGGTCGGGTGTCTCTCCTCCTCCCTCATGTATCATGTGACTGTCCTCGGCTAATGAGACTCTGGTCGGTATCTTCCCTCCTTCCTTCGTGACGTCTCTAATCGGGCGTGTACAATCCGGGGCTTTGTTCTGGGGGAAGGAACACCTTGCTTAAAAAAAACAAAATTTAAATTTGCCCTTTTCGTATGTGATCGAATGACGCTATCGGTCCCTTCCACACGTGGCATCTGTCAACAGCCTACCGCTAATTGGATGCGATCTAAGAAAGGGATTTTCCTAGAACTGTCGGCGTCTCTCGCGAGCTAATACAAATATTCCATAGTTCTCTGGCCGATAATAAAATCTACATTATCTCAAAAAAGCATTTTCACTTTGGGTGGTTTTTTTCCAACCCCAGAAATTGTCTGGGCTTCGTGTATTAATGTTTTGTTTTCGTATACATTTCCCCATCTGTTACCTATCATCTCAATGACACCCTTTTCGTTTGTTACTTATCAATATTTTTTCATTGTCCCTAAAATTTTATTTCTTCAGCCAACTTTAACAAACTTCCATCTTCCGTGGACATGGAATTAGATCAAGTGCTTGACCTGATAATTTTGACATCTGATATGTGCCGGTCAAGCGTGTGTGTTTTCGCTTACGACCTTGTTTCGTATTATGTTTCTGTCTTTCCTTTTCTTTTTTTATTATCTCTAAACTCTATTTCTTCAACCAATTATAACAACTTCCATTTTTCGTGGATTTCAGTCAGGTACTTTGACCTAGATATCTTTTGACACCTGTTATGTGTCAGTTAAGCGTGTGTGCTTATGACCGGGTTTTGTACCATCTACTTCTCTTTCTTTTTTCTTTCTTTCCCTCTCTTTCTTTCCCTCAGATCGCCTAAACGCAATTAGAGAATTATTCTCAAAACCCAAATATTCTTCATCTCTAAATAACTATCAAATGGTTAACAAACCGAAAAAAATAAATCATATATTTATGAATATCTCTTTTCAGTTTTCTAATTATGCATGGTGCCACATTTGGTAGCAGTTCTTTGTGATTCTGTAGCGCCAGTCTACGCGGTTCGCAAAAATGATGCTCATCGTTAAGACCAATGTGTCTTATTCAATTGAAGCCACCTTTAACCATTGACCTGAGAAAGCGGTGATATACAGTTGATAGTTTATCATATTTGAAAGAGTGAACACCAGTCATGACATCCATATGCCAGTCTCAGTTTGGTTTAGTTTGTTTTACGGCATATCAACATCTCAATGGGTTATTTAATGCCGACAAGGTTTTTATTGCTGGTAATATTTTTTCCAAAAAGTATTTCTGGTAATAATTTTCCCCAAAAATGTATTGCTGGAAATATTTTCCTTCAAAAATGTATTTCTCGTAATACCAAGTATAGGATTGGTGTATACGGATTACATTCCAATAACCAACAATTACTATTCTTAATAGAGTGCTCAATAGCAGATATAATTATTTATTTAAAAATTATAACATAAATATGTTATAAAATCACTACGAAAATAGCCATTTTGTTTCAACACCTCCAGTGTCTTATCAAGTGATGATTTTGAATGTAGAATGAAACATTCAATATCATTACTTGATAAGACACTGGAGGTGTTGAAACAAAATGGCTATTTTTGTAGTGATTCTATAACATATTTATGTTATAATTTTTAAATAAATAATTCTCGCCTGTAGAACTCCCTTCCCTATTCAAGTTTCCATGAGAGCTATAATCTCCAACTATTCAAATGTAATGTCAATCGACATCTCCAGTTGCATTGATCTCTCCACTATCCTTCTCCTCATCATTTCCTCTATCACTCCTATCTGATCTTGCTCCAAATCTTCTGTAACCCGTTGAGTCCTAGTGGCTTCTCGCCTTGCTTGGGGTGAAACGCTTTTATATATATATATATATATATATATATATATATATATATGTTTTTCAAGAATTCATTGTTGCTGGTAATAATTTTTGCAAAAATATATTGCTGGAAATATTTTTCTTAAAAATGTATTGCTGGTAATATATATATATATATATATATATATATATATATATATATATATATATATATAATGTATTGTTGGGAATATATTTTTTATAAAAAACGTATAGCTGGTAATTTTCTTTTTAAAAAATGTATTGCTGGTAATAATATTTTCCTAAAATATTCATAGCTGATAAGAATTTTTGCAAAAATGTATTGCTAGTATTAAAACCTATTTTTACACTTTCATAAAGTTTTGACCCCAGTTTAGGGGGTTAACTATTTACCCATAGCTGGGACCTTAACAGGTGCTACCACCCTGGGTCAGGATGGACCTGGGAAGACCAGCAATTAAAAGGTGGTTACACGCTACTCAAAACCTCCTGACCAGAGGCCTTTCTGCTGGACGTAGTTTATCGTCTTACCCAGGATGTTATACCAGACTCAATCTGACGATTGGCTATTTAAGAACATGACTCGAGTTTATGATCTGATTTTAACACTGACTTTCACACCATCTCGGGATTTTGATCCTCACTGAGTGGCTCATGAAAGACTATGCTATGTTTATTAAATAACTATGTAAAAATCAGATTTAAATTATTACGTGACTTAAAAAATGATCACGTGATCTAAAAAATGATCACGTGACTTACAAAATATTGGATGCTTCATGGAATTTCTCGTGCGTAATGGAAATTACTCAGGGGTGTGCAACTTCCTTACAATTATGATTTGATAGGCTGTGGCTGTACCGAGTTATATGGTGTCAGCAGTTTGGAGTAATCATTAACCTGGCCGATAGAAAAAGACTGATTCATGCCTTTTCTAAAGGCCTTAGTACAAACTCTATTTATCCATTCTATTTTTCGGTCTGTTAACCATTAAGCCAAATTCATACGCCGAAGATTTAGTAGGCTGAGCCAGAAATAATTTCCGCTTTGGGAAACCAGTTGTAATGGCGACTGTGTATCATCCTGACCATTCTTTAGATGATAAAAAATGATTTATCTATTTTAGTATTTTCTTATCTATCTATCTATCTATCTATCTATCTATCTATCTATCTATCTATCTATCTTATCCTTTGTATAAGCCTTGAGTATCTATATAGTTTTAATACGGTGTTTTCATAAATTTGATAACTTGTAAATCAATATTATAGATTCTAAATAAATTTAAGATGTTATATATTAGTTTGAGTCATGAATAATTTTTATTTTTGTTTATCATCTTTATTATTCAAAAAATAAATAATAATTACTTTTTATTCAAGTATATATTCAACCTGGCGAGGAGGAAACTAAGTTTCTAGACATCAGATACTACTACTACTACTACTACTACTACTACTACTAATAATAATAATCATCATCATCATTAAGATTAGAAGTGAAAACAGAGAGAGACAGACATATATATATATATATATATATATATATATATATATATATATTATAAATTAATTGATTTAAAATATACTTTTTTTCGCTACACAGTTCTAACCATGTTTCAAAAATGGAAGCTAAAGGCCACGAATTTAATTTTGCAATTAAATTAAAGACATTAGTTCCATTTCATCCTCAAGCGAATTTTGGAGTAACTTTCAAAATTACTGGGTTTTAAAGACACAGCTAAAATCACGTTTCCATGGTTACAGATAAATCTAACAGAGAAAGAGAGAGAGAGAGAGAGAGAGAGAGAGAGAGAGAGAGAGAAAGAAAGAAAGAAAGAAAGAAAGAAAGAAAGAAAGAGAGGGAAGAATAAGGATGAGAGAGATCGAGGGAGCATATTGATATAAAATAAAATATATATATATATATATATATATATATATATATATATATATATATATATATATATATATAGATAGATAGATAGATAAAAAAGTGTGTGTGTGAGAAACAGAGAGTGTGTAAGAGATATAGAGAAAATGAGAGATGTAAAAATAAAAGATAGACAAAGAGACAGGGAATAAAAAAAGAGAGGTGCGAGAGAAAGAGAGATCGGAGAATATATAGATGTAAAATGATAGATAGAGTGAGAGAGAAAGAGAGAGAGAGAGAGAGAGAGAGAGAGAGGGGGAGTGTGAGTGAAAAAGAAAGCGTGAGAAAAAGAGAGAATAATAAACAGAGAGAGAAACAAAAAGTGTGATAGAGAGAATAAAAATAGTGATAATATATAGATATAAAAGACAGACACATAATAGGTAAGAGAGAAAGAGAGAAAATCAGACAGACAGAAAAAGATCGAATATATAGATGTAAAATAATATCAAAGTATAAAACCAGACATCAAAAAACAAGTGAACACATTAAAAAAAAATCATGAAAAGAAAGGAAAAGCTAAAGAAATGTCCCAAAATATGGCAGCAATCTATTTGAGAAATTACCCAGTATAAAATAGCAGTTTCTGAAAAAAACACTCCGTCGGCGAAGTAACAAGATTTAGTAATTTATTTCATTTATTGTCATATAACAGAAAATTGAACGACTCTTTCTTAGGTATATAAAAAAAAAAGAAAGAAAATCTTCGTTTATAATTTTTCTTTTATATATTTTTAGGTCTTTAGATTAATAAAAAAAAAAACGGATTGATGGTTTATATCAACAGACGGTTTTATTTCGTTGCTACAGAGAACATGGTGGAAGTACTTCAGAAAATGTAACAGAAAAAAAAACAAAAAAAAACAAAAGCTGTCAGATTTTATCTCTCGTTAACTTCTGCGACCGAAAGCGGAAACTGTTACTACTAAGTAATTTACAGAACGGTTCTTTCTTGTCGTCCACTTCGGTTGCTAAGGACGTTATCTAATTTAGCGAGTAAAAGCCTCCAATAACCAGACAAAGGAATAGCGAAATCCGTTATATATTAAGTCTTTTTGATCTCTAGTCTTTTTTTTTAAACTATAATAATTCTAATATTAAATTAGACGTATATAAAATATAAGCATATTATGTCTTCAGATAGAGGATTTAATATAGTGTAGACTGCACAGAAGAAAATGGTGACATACTCCGAAGACCAAAATGCTTTCATTTCGGATGTTGCTTTTGCAAAAAAGAAAGAAAGAAAAATGTTTCACTACTGAATGAGGTCATCGGGTAAATTAGCTTCTGCTAACCAATCGTTATTCAAATATCACTGAGTGAAATGGATTGCATAGAAAAATATGCTAATCCATTTCCATGCACCACTGTAAAGGGTCCAACAAACTGCTATAAAACAAATGACATTTCCTAACAATGGCGTCATTTGTGAGGAAGCTGCATGTGCATATATGGAGATTTGGACTTTGTGAACTTTTATTTTACACTGTAACAGACGCATACATATTAACAGACGCAAATGCATACCCACATTCACCCCTGCATTATAAGACGTAGGTGCACGAAGACATTAAATACAAATCTTAAGTTATGAAGAGGGTGTAGTTCATGTCCAATTGTATCCAGGTGTGTGATCAGGTCGCAGCCCTTGCTAAACAAAGTCAATTAGTTTTAAGATCCTGTAACCCTTAACATTTATTCTCTTACCTCCCCTGTTTAAACTGTTATTGACTCTAACGTGGGGAGGGCGCCGTTGAGAAGGAGACCAACAAGCATACCCAAAGGATCAAGGTATCGTCGAAGACCGAAATCAGGGACGTCTGATTAAAGCATATAATCTTTTTAAATAGCTACATCGAAGCTTCAATAGACTTTTTTCTTGCTGATGTATACAAGAACATGTCTACTAGAATCCGTAAGTATATATTGTTTTCTTTGCTGAATAATATGATTGCCTCAAACCAAAATTTATTTTCAAATACATATGCATATTTTAAGTAGATGCAATTTTTCGTCAAACTCTTTTTCTCATATAAATTCATAGCGTCATTATTGGCATCAAATCTATTTTCTTTCTACGATCTTACACGAGTTTTCAATTAAAGTGTGTATTTCGTCATAAAAGAACGATTCCTGTTTTGAGATAATGGGTAATAGTAATTTTCCGATATCATCAAATTGTTGGATCCTGAAGCGCCATGATCTTTTGTCGCTTCGCATTTGCAACATAAGGACGGGCTTCGTCATTCAGCAAAAGCACAAGTTGATTTTTTCGTCCAAAAAAAAAAAAAAAGTATTTTCTTTTCTAATGCAACATTCAAAGAAGTCATATTTCTGGAATGATGAAAGAGAGCTGAGCAATTTAAAGAAGCACTTTAAGAGACACATATGGAAGAGAATCAAGAGGTAAACAATATACTTAAGTTTGATTGATGGCAGAACAGATGACTGATAGAGGGTCAGGAATTTGAAAAAAAGTGATGACAGCGAATATCCTGAAATAGCAAAGCAAACGATAATGTTGCTCAATAACAGTTTGTTCAGGGATCCAGCGATCTTAGTTTGGTTTGGTTTGGTTTGGTTTGTTTTACAGCATATCAACCTCAATGGGTTATTTAATGGCGACAAGATGTTTATTGTTGGTAATATTTTTTCAAATAGATAGATAGATAGATAGATAGATAGAGAGAGAGAGAGAGAGAGAGAGAGAGAGAGAGTTTGGTTTGATTTGTTTTACGGCATATCAACCTCAAAGGGTTATTTAATGGCGGGAGATTTTTTTGTTAGTAATATTTTGCTGGCAATAATTTTTCTTCAAAAATTTATTGCTGGTAATAATTGTTTGCAAAGTATTTCTGATATTAAATCCAATTTTTACAATTTCATAGTGTTTTGACCCCGGTTTGGCGTTAAATATTTATCCATAGTTCGGACCCTAACAGGTGCTACTCACCGGGTTAGGGTGGACCTGAGAACACCAGCAATTAAAAGGTGGTTCTATGCTCCTCAAAAACCTCCTGATAAGAGGCCTTGCTGTTGGACGTAGTTTATCGTCTTACCCAGGGCGTGGATGTAGTTTATCGTCATACCCAGGACGGTCTAGCAATCTGTAGTAAATAATTAGCTGTGGATACCGCCAAACATGGAGATGAACATTTGTGGCCCAATGGGAACTGGACATGATTAAAACGCCCATAAAGCCAAGTGGGCTTAAAATGCGGCCAGAATCACACTTAGAAATGTCAGATGCGTACCGCCCGTCGAAGTTTACAAGACAGTAGTCGGTACGATCCGGCCGTCGGCGGGTGACTAACAAGATGCTTAAGAGATAAAGAGTCGGAGGACGATAGAATTCTCGCTGGCCGAAAGGAAGATCTTGTTCGTTAGTTCATAGAAGTTCTAAGTTTCCCCAGACAGTGCCAAGTGAAGCCGTGTATAGATAACAAAATATAGGAAAGGGGTTCAGTGTTTAATTGTTAGTCTTGGTGTTATTTCAGCTTCTAATCCCTTGTGGACGTACACTGTGACTTTTCCAGTTTTTGAGCCTACTAATGCAAACTGGAATCGAAGCATAACTTAGGGTGTTTTGTTGTCAAAAATAGGGTGTGTCATGATTTAGAGGTCGTGGCTAATAACAACAAAGTTTTAAGAAGTTCATGACAACAATGTGTTAAGTAGTGTTAAGTGCCAGTAATTCTATTTTATTTGGGCCTCAATGGAAATCTGCAAAATTTTAATGTACAAGACTTACATGTGTGTGTATGTGCAGAAATAGTTTCATCGTTTCCTACTATGCCGAATGTGGAGGAAAACGCGCCTATATATATATATATATATATATATATAGTCATCCGTATACAGACTGTTTCGCTGTATCATCAGTGTGTTTAGATATGAGATTGCTTCAAGCCAAGATCAAATCCTGACCGATTTGACACACGCAGCGGAGAGAGGGAATTTTTACCGATAGCTAGGAATAAGCAAAATCTATATGCCATTTTAAAAAAGTAAAAAAAGAACAACCGGTTTCGTCCCAGCCTTATCAAGTTTATTTTCTGGGATATAAAAAATATATAAGCGTGTAAATTAAATTAATATCACGAATGGAAGGGAAAACTAGAGTCCAATAACATTCAAATCCAGTAAGCATTCCCTCTATTTTCAAAGGGAAGGCCAACGGGATCTGATATACAAGGACTCTAGAACCTTGAGGTGATATGAGAAGTAGGACCTAGATAAAATCAAAAAATGGTCAACACTAAAATCAAACACACAATTCCTACTATTTATTATATGCTCAGCAATAGCAGAGCCAAAAGTATTGGTTAGTTGGCTTTTCCTGGCATCCGGATTACAACACTTACCCCCCACCCCAGTCACACTGAAGATCTGTATTGCAGCTCTTCATTGTGACTAGACATCCGATTGCCTGAAGCCGGGATCGAAACCTAGCTGAATTGCCATCAGTTAAAGAATCTACCCCTATGGTATTGGCGCACGGTAGAGAGGGGGGTGAATCTTAGCTTATTGATTTTAAACAAACACAACAGTGACCGAGAGAACTCAATTCATTAGTAGAGTCTTGCATTAACAGCAGTAGTAGTCAATGTTTACAAATTTGCGCTTTCTCCCCAGAGAGCTCAACCGAATTAATTTTCGGGAATATATATATATATATATATATATATATATATAAAACCCTTTATTCTACATTCAACATCATCACTTGATAAGACACCAGAAGTGTTGAAGCAAAATGGCTATTTTTGTAGTGATTTTATAACATATTTATGTTATAATTTTCAAATAATTATATATATATATATATATATATATATATATATATATATATATATATATAATATTAGTGGCAATATATATATATATATATATATATATATATATAAATTCCCAAGAGGATAGAATCCAGGTAAAACTCAATGTTCAGGGCAGAGTATAATATAAAAGAATATAATATAAAAGGCTTAAACACTAATATTTCATATATATATATATATATATATATATATATATATATATATATATACACGAAAATTAATTCGGTTGAGCTGTCGTAGGTTGAGCACTTTGGAAGAAAGGGAATTTTTCGACTGCTGCTATTAATGCTAAAAGCCCTTCGCTATGAATTGAGCACTCTGGTAGCCGTTAATACTCATATCTCGTACATAAGGTGTTAAAAATTCCCTCTCTCCGCTGCGTGAGCTAAGGGTGAGAGTCTCCGACTGGTGTCAAATCGATCGGGACTCGATCTCGACTTGAAGCAATCTCATATCTAAACACACTGATGTTACAGCGAAACAGTCTGTATATGGATGACTATAAATATATATATATATCCTATATATATATATATA